CATGCTTTAGTTGCTTAGCTTCCTGCCAGGCAGTCTTACAAATATATATATATATATATATAATTTTTTTTTCTCTAATGAAGCAAAAAATTGATTCCTATGCGCATGAAATGTGCGCAAAAAAGGAATAAATAATTAAACAAAGTTATGACAGTGAAAAATTAAACAAAAACATTTTATTCTTTGATAAACAACACCATAAACAATGGAAACTATATGCCATTTTTGACAGTGAAGATGTGTACTGATTTTGAAGAAAAAGTATAAAACAAATATTTAAAAAAATAACTAATTTTCCAAGTTTAATTTATTAACTTTTAAACGTATTTGAGAAGAGAGTAGTGTGCAGATATCTTTCCTAGAAAGTAAAGTAAGTACAATAAATATAACTTACAATTGCAATGCAAACTTTGTATTCGAAATGTTAAATTTGTTACCGGAACCAACAAAAATTTTTTACTAAAAGCTTGATTATTCATATCTACAAACAATGAATATATTAAACTATAGTAAAACAGAAGCTGAAATTTATGCTGATGTGAAAAAAACTTTTTTTTTTCCTTTTGATTTTAACTTAAATTTCCAGAAACCGTTTTTATTCATATGGTTTAACATCTTTATTTATATATTTTGGCATTTTATTTCGCAATATTGATTTTTAAGAGGCAACATTTTTTGGGAAATTTATGAAAATGCTAAACAAGCATAAAATAAGAGGGAAATTCGAAAAAAACTGACCCTTTTGAATATTTATAAATGACCAACTATTCAGAAAATTTATGACTTGGGTCGTAATGTATAATGATTAATTATATAAGAATACATGAAAGCTAGGAAAAATCATAAATTAAGTTGCTCTTTTGTGATATTTCTTACTAATCTCTGTTTTCTATCGAAAAATAACAATAACTAAGTATAAAGCAGAAAAAAAAATGTAGATACTTTGTTCAGAAATCACGAGGAACAAAAAATTCCCACAATGGATGAGCGTAGCACAAAGAACTGTGGTCAATAGAAGAAAATTAAAGAAATGAAAAAGAAAGATATGGATTTATACAATTTTGTCCAGTTTTATCAATGCATGAATACAAAAAGCATCGAATAGCATGAATGAAGCAGTTTTTAATATGCACGGCATTTTAAATAATTTTCGAAAAAGAGAGACATTGTTGCAATGTATAATTGTTTATGGTGCTTTCCTTTAACGATAGTTTAAAATTTTACTTCTTTTTTATCTACTCGATTTGGTGTTTGTGAGGCTACTACTAACAAGAATGCTCAAATTTTAAATGTAACTCTTCGCTGGAGGGTAATAGTTCTTTAAACACAAAAAATAAAATTTATTGTTTTAACAAAGAGAAGTTGAACGAGAATGCAATCTTTGAGCTATAGCTAGAATTCTCAGATCTCCTCTAGAAAATAAATCGTCACATTATCGACAATAGGAATTAGTTTCCATTAGTTCCATTTTCTTGTAAGCTAGAGTACTTGAAATTTAACTAAAGCTTTCTACTGAATGACAATACACACTTAAAATATTTCCTGACCGTTGAAAGCAGAATTTAATGACAAAAAGAATTTATTGTCAATCTTAATATCAACCACTTTCAGTTCAGAATTGAACTTGATACTGTTCATTAATGTTTTGATTGCGACAAGCTGATTTTATATCTCCATTTTGTTGTTAAAATTATTTGTCATAAATCACAATTTGAACCCTTTTCCCTTAAACTAGAGGGTTTGAAATTTTACTAAAGCTCTCACCTAAATGACAATACGAGTTTTAACTGTTTCTTGCACATTAAAGGCAAAATTAATTGACAAAATAAATTTATATTCACTATAAGTATCAACCAGCATCTCAGTTCAGAACTGAAATTGATACGGGTATTATTTTTTTTCTAAAAATGCTGCTAGAAAATTACACATTGCCATTTTATCCCTTAAACTATTGTCCCCCATAAATCAAAAATTCGCTTATTTGTCTAACATCTAGAGTTCTTTAATTTTATTCTAATTTAAATTTCAATACTCCAATAATAGTTTTAACCGTTTGCTTAATTGTAGTAGCTGATGCAACAAAAATTTATTGCAATTTCATGATCAAAAAGAAGAAAAACGACCTCAACAAACTTAAGATGTTTTTTTTTTTTTAAATAAAAAAAAACAATTAAATAAACATTTTGAAAATTATTATTTTTTTATTTCCAATGAGCTGCGCAATCAGTCTTCCCGATGAGCAGACCTGGTGCCTTCTCCAGAAGTGGTATCCACTCTTTCAGGACCACCACAATGGGTGAGATACCGTTGGCTATGTTAATTTGGTCGTCTAGTTTTTGCCACACTAGATGGCAGCACCGAGACTCTATTTAAATGCTAAAGTGCACTAGGAATTTAATTTTGCCGGAAATGCCAAGAGCCAGAAGGCCGACGACAAACCATCTGCGTCACTCAACCACTAAAATTATTAATTAAAGTAAACAAAAATAAGAAAATGATTTTGCTTTTGTTTGAAAAAAATGTAGAGCGTATTTTGGTAATGAACACTATTATTACCAAAAACACCTTCACGTCTTTGAAAAGTGGTGCATTTTCAGTATACCCTTCTTTTTTATCTTGCTAATCAATAGTGTCCTACATTTTTTGTTTGTTTTTGGTTTGACAAAAATGAAATTATAATTTTTTTAAACTTATTCTCATTTTATTATTTTCTTTTTTTATGTATTTTCTTTTTTTAAATATATTTTCATTATTAATTATATTCTCTCTTCAATATTTCTTTTCTTTTAAAATTCTATTTTCTATTTTTTTTCCTTATACTGCGGAGCGTAATTCGACTCTTTTTTTAATTTTAATCTATTTCGCAACATATATATATATTAAAATAATAGCTTAATGGAATGAGTGAATAAAAAAGGGACTACATTCCTAAAATAATAACACTATATATTTTTTATTAAAAATTATTGTTTAAAAACTTCTTTTTGATTTCAACATACATTATACAAAACTATTAATTTCTATCACATAATTAGAATTTTATTAAGAAAACTCTCGTTGTCTGAATTGCAAGAAAATTATTTGTAACCATAAATATATATGTATGCAGATATAAAAAATACAGATATCAAGAAAGTGCAGATATGGAAAAAATATAAAAAAGTAACAGTTAACCGTAAATTCTGGTTTTCGAAATTATAGTTCTTATTACCACACATTTAGTAAAAAATACTACACATGAAAAAGTAAATTTAACAAAATAAATGGTTTATATGCTATGCTCTAATGTATCATGATAAAATCATTAAATTTTACCACATTTACAAAACTTTATCACGCATTATGAAATCATATTTTATTATTAATTTTACCAAAATCATTACCATTTCGGTAAAAATTTCCGTGCCTTTTAGTGTTCCCATTGAGTAACACGGTAAACGGAAAATTTTACCATATTCTGGTAGTTTTGACTATATTTTTTCTCAGTCTTCTGTAATTGTAAATGCGGCTTTTGAAAAAGAAAATAAACTAGAATATTTTGATGCGTTAAAGTCAAGTATTTTCTAAATAACATTTATTATTTTTTTTTCGAAGTATCTTAGAGCTAATTTTTAAAGCATGTCCGTTGAAACTTTATACCCGGTTTAATATTACTGACACAAATTGAAAACGTCTAACATTACCTCGGCTCGCAAATCAACCTAAACGAAGGAAAAGCTAGATAACTTCTGTGCCTCGTTTCAGTGTCTGAAACTTCAGACTGCAACCAATTTTAAAAATCATTCACTTTCAATCACACTTCTTGGCGAAAAAATAAAATCCAAGTAAAGTGTTATGAAAGTAATCTTCTAAAATTCAATTCTTTTTCAGTGTTTAATGTTTGATAGGATTTCCTATTTCTCGTGACGTCATAGTTTGACGGGGGGTGGCGCCAGTATCAGCGCCGGTCCGATGTGGTCCCACTTTGGGCTGTGGGACGCGTTGCTATTCGAACAGTTGTTTTCTCACGATGAGGTCGCATGGATATCCTTATCTTAAAAGAGGAATGTTAGTTGCTCTCGCTCCTCTGGCGGTTTTGGCGCTTTTATTTCCAGGTAAGTTCTACGATTTTTTTTTTCTCCTACAATCAGTGGAAGTAATCCTGATTTAAGTTTTGATATAAAAACTTCGATTGCACCTGTTGAATGCTTCTTAGCAAATTTAAAGCAGCATTGAATAAAAAATGTTTCAAAAGCAATAAATTAAATTATATTGCAGCATGCATTTTTATATTATTTTAAGTGGTTAATAAAAGATGTCTTTTTTTATCATGCATTATCATTTTTTTTTTTATAGAAATTAGTTTTCTGAAATTGCGATATCTATAGCAGAACACCTATTCGTTTCTATTTTTTTAAATAGCTAAATTATATTTAAATGCAAATTCTTTAAAACAATTCTATAACATTGAAAATATGTAATATAGTACTGCCCTGCAAAAATTTTCTAACAAAATATATTTCGTTTTAAAATTATATTACAATTTCAGAATTGAATAGCAAAAAAAAAAGAAAATTATGATAAAGCGTCGAAAAATATTTTTTAAATATTTTAATAAATTTGATACCTCAAGTTGTTTCTTTTTATATTATAGTACTGATTTTTGCAATGTGATTTAAAGCATATACTTTATGAACTGATAGTGGATTAAAGAAGAAGAATTGTTAAAATTATTCAATATTTTATGAAATATATTATATCCTAATGTATCAAGTTTGGAATATTTGAGAGGCAAACTATGTTCCGCACATGAAAATAATATCATCGTGGGGCAGAAAAAATTGGAAGTATATTATGAAATCAAAAAGTATCACCGTTTAATTATTCAACTGCATCCAAATTAAAAAGTAAATTCCAATATAGGCATTACGTGGAAAATTACTTGAAATTTATTAGTTGAATAAACCATTTCAAATTAAAGAATAATTTCAAATTAAAGAATAAAGAATAAATTAAGGAAATTTGTCAAATTAAAGAATTATTTACAGAAAATTGATTTATTTTTAATACTAATACTGTAATGTACCAATAATTTATACTTTTGCGTAATTCACTGCTTTATAAAATGATACATATTTCCTTTTATTATATTTATTATAAATAAAGATGTAAAATAACGGCAAGTTATGCTTTTTTCATGAAATAGTTAGTTACGAATGTTTGAATGATTTGTTTTGTCACGTTTATTGTCACGTTTTGTCACGTTAATAAAAATTTTTGTTGTAAAATTAATAAAAGCCTTCAAGTTATGAGATTAAACTTCATTCTGTATAAATAAAGGAAGGCATAAAATATCGAATAAATGTAATTATTTCAAATCATACAATTAAAATATAGTCATTATTTATTAAAGATATAAGAAGTATCAAACCATAAAAAGTACAATAAAAGAGGTGTACATAAAATACTTAATAAGAATGTTGCAATGTAAAAGATACTTTTACCATAAAATCTATTTTTGCTGTACAATTTTAATTCCGTAATTTTAAAATAATATTTATTTAGTTTCGATGATACAGTTATTTTACAGTAATATTACTGTCGAAATCACGGTTTTAAATTTTTTTTTTTGCGGTTACACATTTTTTTTTCCCGTAAACTGTGATTTTACAGTAATTACTGGCATTTTGAGTGACCGCACTTTTTAAATTAATTTGATCCAAAATTTTTTCACCCTGCCCTTCAGTTTTAATCATGTCTGATATGTTTATTATTATTTGTTTATTAATATTTCTTTTATGAAACTGACTTAAATCAACCCGCTAAGTCTACAAGTTCCTTGATTAAGAAAAAACATTTTCGTAACGAACTCAAACCTCAGTTGGAGTTCGAAAAATGAACACATACCATCGCAAGAAAAATAATTGCTCTTAGAATAACGTTGAATGTTCAAAAACCTGATTAAGATATTAAATTTTTTCTGTGGATTTCTTATATTAACACGCGTTTATTTTTGTTGCTTTCTCCCGTTGTTACCAAATTCACTTTGTAGCATTATTATCTTTACCAATTATCAGAAAAAAACTCTTGATCTCTTTAAATGGTTTAGTAGGCTACTTTTAAACTGGTTTAAGTCAGAATGATGAAAAATCAGATGTCATTATATTTACACAAGAAACGTTGTGCCCACGACAGTAAGTCACGAATGACACAAATCACATAGCACGGATTTTCCTTATTTTTAACGAAGGGAACGAAATAAACTGAAATGGTTTAGAATAAAACAATGAAAGTTTCAACTGAACTTCTTAAGAAAGTTAACTACATCCCCAACACATTTTTGTACGAAAAACCCACTCTTAAATATTTAATTGCAAATTGTTTTGTTTTTAAGTAGATACTAAAGGAATGTTAAGGTACATGAAATGAAGAATTTTTAATTTTTCCAGGTTACGAAACTAAACATGTGATATGTAACGTTTTAATTTTGATGATATTCCATTTGGATTAATGTTTTACTTAATTGATGTGAAATTTTATTATTAAAATAATTATTAATAATTTTTATTAATTATTCATACGTTATATTTATTATTAATAATTTCTATAAATTTTAATTTCCGTGAATGTTTTGCGCCTCAAAAGTTTGAATGTATAAGTGCTCATTTACGTTTTTTAGATTTCATTTCAAATATTTTATACTTTAAAATCGAAAATGTTTCGAAATATATTTTTTAGAATAATAATTAAAAATTTTATCAAGTGGTTTATTCTATCATAAAATTAATCAATTTATTAATTATGTAAAAATGTTTTCTAAGGCAGTTGTCTTAAGAATGCATTCCACACAGATATTTGTTTTACTTTAAATCAATTGCTTCAATAAAGATGATTAATTGTGTGCCGGTGATTTTACATTTGCGTGATTGCAGTCTATTAGGCAAAAGAACTATACAAGTATAAATATTACAATTAAACAGATTTAGAAAATTTCTTAAAGCGTTTTGCAATGAAATATTCTGTAAAATTAAATGCAATATTTATTTTAAATACTTATTGAATAAATAAACTCTCTATCATGGTAAGTGTAAACTTAGTAAAGCGAGATACAACGTTTGTTTGAGATTTTAAGACAAAATGTTATGAAGACTTGTTTCGTTGCTGTAGGCATCTACTTTGCCTAATGTTATCATATATTGCTAATTAAAATTTATTGAAATGAAACACAATTATTTACCACAATGATTAATTTTCAAATAATATAACAATTTAGTTTGAGTTCAGCATATGTAACATCGTGTCAAAAGCAGTATAATATTAATAATTCCATTCTTCTTCACTTCAAACAATTCGCTGAGTATTAAAATGCATGTATTGTATAGGCATACAAACACAATTTATGTAAATGGACTTAGAATAAAAAAAGCTTAACTGGAGTGTGAAATTATTACGAATCTCAGTTTTGTCAACTTTGGCTTTGTCATTAATGTCTGTATACGATTGATCGATATTTATTCTATCACTTAGTTTTTGTTTTGTTACATTAAAAATTGTTAAGAATACCTAAAAATTTGAAAATAGTAAACTCATTTACATCGTATAAGTAGAGGCAGAGGAGGGTTAGGGTGGACATTTTTTACAAATTTCGATTGCCAAAAAATCCCATTTAATATAATTTTTTACTCTTGAATGGTTTTTTAACAATAGTTCAGACATTTACCTAAATTTTGCAATTTTACATTGAAAAAACAAATCGCTTTTTTAAAAGGTAGACTTTTTTTGTTCATATTAGCCCCACTACATGGGGATAGCTTGAATATGTTATGAATCTAGTAGGAACAAACTTGATACAGTAGTTTATTATATATAAATCTTTAATTTATTACATGTTAAGCTATAATTACAACCTGAATGATGTTTACGTCAATCCAACCCTTATTGGAAAATAAATATTAACATATTTTAATTAAAATACTTTTGTCGATTGTTTCCCTATAATAAGATTTACGTTTTAAACGCAAATCAATAGACTTGAAAATTATTATTCAATTTGATTTATTTAAAAGCAAAGAACCAATCTTAAGTTTAATAAATTAATAAAACTATTTTTACTTGAGGAAATGGTCCGAAAGGACAATACACGGAGTGCATGTCCTAACGATATATTTAACTCATTGGGGGTGATGTAAAGTAACTCGCAAAGCAGAAGACGGCATCATTCACCGATGTTATGTTTTAGTTCATTGTACGTGAAAAAATTTATATGTATTAAAACTTTTGTTTTTTATTTAATTTATCTATATTAAATTATATTCTTCTAAACAATGCGATAAAGCATCTCCAAATTTCCTTGAATGGAGTAAAAAGAAAATTAGAAATAGACCTTAAAAACCATCTTTAACAAAGTTCTACGGAGTGCAATTATGCAACTATTCTGGAAATGTACTGAATGTTGACGATCTACAATATCCCGCTGTATAAAATTGGCTAGTAAATAAAAAAGTTATTCAAGATCTGTTCCCATGTCTACAATAGCTTTTCCGATGTAGAAAAATTCCTATTCAAGTTTTATATATTTGTCAAACAATTTTACTAAAATTTATTCGTAATAGTTTTTCAATTGAATCCCCGTTTTTGATAAGACCGCTGACCTTGCATCAGTACAATCTCAAAATATAAATTTTTGTATCTTAATGCTCAGAAAACACAATATTTTGCATTATTTTTAGCTACTGTATTAAATATTGTAATATGTTTTTTAGGTTATTTAGTACTTTCATTAGTTTAAATAGTAATATAAAGTACACAAAGTACAAAGGTACAAAGTATTAAGCATAGTTCAACTAGTTGCTTTTAAAATGGTTTTTCTCTAAAATACGCGTTGTACTAGATAAATAAAATGTAANTATTTATATATATATATATATAGATATAGATATAGATATATATATATATCAATTTTCTAGTCTTGCATATTAAGTGTTTAGTTACTAAAACCCTCTTATCCTTTTATAAATTTGTATAAAGGCACGACGGGAAATAATGGCTTATAGAATATCCTGCTGCTGTAGTCAGAGCAATAGTTGGATAAATCAAATCTAGTTGAATTAGCACC